GGGCTTCATTGAGCTAGAGGGTTAGCATTGTCCATCTATAAACAGTCTATTGTTAATTTATACTTAGATAACTTGATAATGTATTCATTTATTTCAGGTATTATTATCAATGTCACAGTTCTCCTTAGAGAATGGGAAATCCTGAGATGAAATGATCAGCTGTGGCCTGAAAAGTCCAGCTTTGACTTTGGAGCCAGCTGCGTTCTACTTACACTGAAGCAGCACACATGCAGTCAGCAGAACACTGTGTGGCTTTGTTTTGAACACAGTGCTACTTTCACACAAAGAATTTTACATAGAAACTTGGTCGTCTTGATACATATTTTCATGTTCTATTTTATGCACAAATAAGTCTTAATGGTCTTGGGCCTTCTTATCTTTCAGAACTGCTTTTATCCTATGAGCATTCCCGGCCCCTGCGCTCCTCCGGCAGCAGACTCCTAACCATCCCCAAAGTCAGGACACACACTCACGGTGAGGCGTCTTTCCAACACTACGGCCCCCGTCTCTGGAACAGTCTGCCGGAGGAGCTCAGGGCCGCAGAGAACATTCATATTTTTAAAGCCAGGCTCAAGACACACCTTTTTAGATTAGCTTTTGATTAGTATTTATTAGTCCATTTTTATATATTCTATTTATCTTTTATTATTTATTATATTGCTATTGCTTTTATTCATGTTTTGTGTGATAGTTCCTTTCAGGCTCACATTTTAGTGTTTTACTTATTGTATTGTTTTTAGTATCCCCAGTGTTTCCTCTGGAGGAGCCCTCTGCGCTGGGAGCGGTGGTTGGCTGTGGCTGTGGGGGTCGGACTCTTGGGCCTGGTGGGGGCCCGGGGCCTTGGTTTTGGGTCTCCTCTGGGTCCTGTGTCGTCCCCTTTGGCTATGGGCGGCTCTCTGCTCCTGGCGCTGACGGCTCCTTGGATGGCGTTTCTTCAGCCGGTTGCATCTGAACCCTGCCAAGTCTCTTATCATCGTTTTACGTTTTATTGTTTTATCAGTGCGTGTGTGTGTGTGTGTGTGGGGGGGGGGGGGGGGGAGGGGATTGTTTTTTAGCCAAACTGTAAAGCACTTTGTGTTGCATCTGTTGTATGAAAAGCGCTTTATAAATAAACTTTGATTGATTGATTGATTGAAATAGTTTTTTAATTGATAAGTATTATTAATATTAAATGATAATGATTTCATATAATTTTACTAACTTCATTCACATAATGGCAAAGTGGCACGGTCTCTGCAAAAACAATTTCCAAGTGGTAACTTTTGTTTGTTACTTACGTGGCAATAAAAATGATTCTGATTCTGATTCTGATAAAACACACACATGCACACACAGGTCTTAGGAAGAAATCAATATATGAATATCTGAACCACATAAAAAAGAAATTCAAAGAAAATGCGATTTAAGGCGGTCCAACGCACTGCTCCACCTGATAATAGCATTTCAGTTGAAATGGAATAGCATGTTTTTCACCTGTAGCACAAAAAAAATATGAAAAGTGCCGATTGTTTACATGGAAATTGTATTTCTTTGGCAGCAATAATATAGCCAGGGCAGCGCCACCTAGCAACTAGATCAGGCATCGCAAAAACACAGACTGCTCCAAGAACTATGTGAAGCCATGACATCCGTTTGTAGTTTAGCGATAGAGTTAAATGTAAACCAAGCCATATAGTCAGTGTTGGCAACAATCCCTGAAATTGAGGATTTAATGTAAAGCCAGAAGAAAGAGAATGTTGGAGAATTTTATCCAGGGGTAAAGACATGTTTGCTCTTACTACATGCATCACAACCAAACAGCAGAAGCAAAAAGGACCTCCCTACTAACGAATCCTAATATTCTCTAAGTAGATCCTAATAGATTTCAGATGGAAAAAAAGAAACCGGCTCAGGCTAATATCTTCCATAATATGCCACTGAACCCTACAGTCAGGGCTGGACTGGCCATCGGGCGTACAAAGGGCCGATGCCCATATTTGGGCCGGTCTGTCTGCCTCATACAAAACATATGTTTGTGAAAAGTGTAAATCCGTTGAGAAATGTTCCGCTCACCGGGAACGCTCACAACACAACACGGTGAGCGCGTAGCCGCAACGTGCCCATATACCCAAGACCACAAACGTGCACAGGACCATGCGTGTCTTTGCGTAATTTGTCCACCCAATAAATACACTGCTGCAGAAAACAGTCCGCGTCTCCCCTCTCCTCTAAATTAAAGCTCGGGTACCTACATTTTCCATTGCATTAAAAGTTCATGTTTGAGCCCAAAAGTAAAATGTTGTGAACAGATTAAACAGATTTAGAGCCAGCTAATGGCTGACATTATGCATTTCAGAATTCTTTACCAATTCTCATCCCTGTAACAAACAATAGTATTGTCTTTGTCCACCTCCTTCACTCTGAGACATGTTTATTACTCTGTTTAATGTAGACTATTGTACTGTATTTTATTGTTGAAACTACAGACATGCTGAGCCTTTTCAAAAATGTCTGAAAATGAAGTGTGAGGGCTATATTTTATTTCTAGTTTGAATGTGGTTTCTGTAGGAGGAAAAACATTCTTAACGTTTTTCAATTCTGCAAAAACTTGTATAAGTAATATTCAATTTCAATAAAGAGAGAGAGTCGATAAGACTGGACTAAGAATGAGAATGAACATTTGCTTTCAGTCAGTGAGGAAGGACTGCTTTATGTTTGCGATGTAATGAAAAGTTTTGTTGCAACAGGAGGAACAATGAAGCGCAAAACACTGTTCACTGAAACATTCATTCATCATAAAGTCAGAGCACCTATTTTCAGACTTCAAATACCTTCGCGAAGACGGTGAAAGAAAAGGCCATTAAGGACATTCAGCTCCAGCAAACTTCAGCCTGTGATCGATATGCAGAGATGCAGGTGAACTCGGAGCCAAAAAGCAGATTTATTTACTCTATTTGTACAATTGCATGAAGGTTAAAAAATGGAAGTTAAACTTAAAGCAGAGTTGTCACGTGGTGCGTCATTCTCTCCAGGACACGCTGCAATGAAAATACACATTTGATAATCATGAATGGTTTTTATGTGTTTGTAGCCTTTACTTTGTCATTTAGATATTAGGCTAATATAGCTAATATAGCTAATGTAGCTAAGGTAGCTAATGTAGCTAATACATCTTCAGCCCCTGTTACCTTCATATAAGCCTTATACAATGCTGTTTTGTTTTTTTTCCGGCTCCAGACAGATTTTTTTGGGGTTTTTTTTTTGTCAAATATGGCTCCTTGAACCTTTTGAGTTGCTTGGGCCGCTAAGAAGGAAAAAATGCCCGGGCCGTTTTTTTGTCCCAGTCCAGCCCTGTCTACAGTGGATCGTCAACCTGTAGAAAGTTACGTACAGCAGTTTTAAAATCTCCTCCCTCCTCTGTTACTGTCAGTGGGCTTGTGTCATTGGCTCATGTTGTGGTTTCTCTCGCTCTGATTGGCTGTTGAGCAGGAAGTGACAGTGGCAGGAGCTCTGACAGTCAGCCAGAGCCTAGCGTCACCCCCACCTTCACCCACCCCACCCCCCGGCATTTCCATACACCAGGTACAGACGTAAAGTACTGCTATACTGCTAATGCACAGTACTAACACAAACCAGGTACTTACTGCATCCTGCATTCACCAAGTCACAATAAACATGGTAAAAGTGATTCTTTATTTTGCTAAAGTTAGAGATGTCATACTTGCTTCTTTGTTATGCTTACTTAATTTAGTAGAAGTAGTAGTAGTAGTAGTTTATTTAAGTTTTACAATGTATTTTTACAGGTACATATAATTTCAATTTAAATCAAAATGGATTTTACTATGCCTATTGTTTATACTTGTTTGTGAGTTTGACCCACAACGCATCTGACCACAGTTACTGGCAGTATACAAACATTAAAGCATGATAATGAATGACTTTAACGTTTCTGTTCAGCCCAAGAGCACATTATGACGGGATGTTAGTATTTTATGGGCAATGATTCTCAAACTAGTTCGACATATTTAGCCTCCCAAGTACCACCATAATGTTTAATAGGATTGCACTATAGTAGAGATGGTTCCGAAGAGGGTTAGAATAAGTAATAAATATTGAACTGCAGAGAAATCCTTGTTCCAGCAAAAACGTACTCGTGCTACAGTTTGAGAACCACTGTATGTGAATAGTGCATGTCTCCTCCTCAATCCATGAACTTACGCATGTCTTTCTATTCGTCCATTTTCTTCCACTTGTTCCATCATAACTTTGATTTTAAGCAGTTTCCCAAATGTAATCAGGGTTGGACATGTTTTTCAACCATCTGTTAAGACAAGGAAAGCAGTTTTTTATATAGCACAGTTCAAAACAAGATCGTACAAGACATTAAAATCATTCATAAATCACAGTACATTAAAATTAGTGAAGACTCAATCCTTCAGTTGTATCCACAGCTAAACACGACTGGATTTAACCTGGATTTGAACGTTTTCAGAGTAGACGCCTGTTTCACATTTTTGGGAAGACTGTTACAGATTTTAGCCGCATGAATCTGAAATGCTGCCTCCCTATGTTTAGTTCTGACTCTGGGCATCAGCAGGAGGCCTCAGAGTCCTATTTGGTTCATATGGGATTTGTTAGACACTTATTAAATAATATTTCCTCTTCATTTGATCAGCTCCAACCCCTAAGTCCCATGTCCCTTTTGAACAGTGAAAGCCCCTGTCCAGTTTGACTATATCTATATTTTTCTTTGTTCTATCAAATATTGCACTTTTTTCTCCACCCTTCCCTCTGCGTCCTTCTTAAGCTGTTGCTGTGACGCCCTTCCCCTCTGTATGACTGTAATGGGTATATTGTGTGCCCGTGCTTCTCCTTAGGATGCATACGCCGTTCCTCCCGTCGTGTTTTATCACCCTCACTGTCAGCTTTATGGCAGTAATCTATACAGCTAATTTGCGAGGAAGGTGCAAATGACAAGACGTTATTCATTCTTTCTTTCTCACAATGACTTTTTCTTTCAGCTTCGGAAGACAACATCTACAGGAAGCCACCCATCTACAAGCGACAAGGTGAGACAAAGCAGAGGTTGCTGAATCAAATTAGCAAAGAAGAGTTAGAAAGTTAGATTAAACATTTGATTCATGTTTTGTAAGAAGAGAAATCTATAAAAAAAGCTGCAATAAGAGTCTGCAGGAGAATATGTACCACGCACTGATATCTCCATAAGGACGTTAACAATAAGAATACTGAATACTAAGAATGCAACATTAAAAAGTTCCTAACGGTCCCTGTCAAATCTATCTCTCATTTGTCCTCCCCCCAAAGAGTGTATACACAGTATTTATATTGGGAAGATTGTGTTGGAAAAAAAAACAGGGTATTAGCTTTTGGGATGGCAAAACGTGTCCATACAAGAAAGTCATGTACACAAGTGAAGTATAATATTTGCTCTTTTCAGAAACAGTAGTATGCAAATCAATGTTTTATAATTATTGACCATGTTTCAACACTAAAGTATTAACCCTAAATTAGTTTTTTCTCAATCGCATGGCTGTGTTTGCGGACTGTCATTTTCAACTTTGGGGGGGAAAAAAAACAGGTGGTAGCATAGGGAGTTTTAGGCAAATAGCTTTTTTATTTTTGAGACTTTTTTCATGATATAAACACATTATTTCATATTCTAGAACATTAAATGACAAATGTAAGTCATGGTCATAAAAAAAAAAAAAGCTTCTTGCTGCTGGTGTGATGTATGTTTAAAGCCTGTGTCTTCTTGACTAATGGTCTTTTCTCATCTTTATGCTGCTCTGAAACATCTGCGCGTCTCCCTCTGTCCTCAGCAGCATCTTGTCCTAAAAATGGCCCTCGCTCCTGGAACATTGTTGTCGCGCAAATAAAATATTGAAAAGGCAGCGTGACATCAGGGTTTTTAGCTTTGAAGGACAAATATTAAGGCAATGATTAATTACTGTTGAATCCAAATAGCAATTTGGGTGGTTTTAGCAAATTGCAAAGAATGTATTTACGGTATTAAAATACTTAGAAAACAACAACAATGTTTTCTTAATACATTTTAGATTCACCTACAAACCATGATCTGAACAAGTGCAGAAGTACACCTCCATTTTTTAAGATCCATATTTGTTTCCCCCAAGGTTTACAGCTTTTCCTGTTTATCTACATATTTCCTTTTACTGTTTTTACTGCCAGAGCTCAAGTATCCCTTATGAAGCGAACAAAAAACGACTCAAAATGACCTTGAAGTTGCTATTGTTGAATATTTTGCGTTTTTTATCTCAATGGTTCACAATCTCAAATCTGAGCAAGACAGTCCTATGTTCGAATCCTGATCGGGCCTTTTTGAGTTCGCAAGTATTAGATTACAAATAATAAAAAAATTGTACACACCAGAGATTTCCTTGCTTTGGCATAGAAATATATGATAACACAAACACTATTTCCCTCCACTCATCCCTACTGTTAGTGTCGAGCCATTTATCATCACTTAAAAGTATTTTCTATTTTCACATTAGAACATAATTTAGCCGGGAATATCTCAAATGTGCAGTTTATGTAAAGCAGCCCAGGAATTTAAAAGAAGGCTTTGTGCCAAGAAGAATGGGCAGATTTACCACCAGAGAGGAGCAAGAACCTCATTCACAAATACATTAAGTCAAATCAAAGCACAACTGTATATATAAAAATATTACAGCTTTTGTTGTTATTATATGTTATCCTCCTGTTGCCTAGCACTTTAGAATCAGAAAATGAATGGGGTTTCTCATCACACAGCGTATACAACATTGATCAAGGCTATGTATGAATAGCTTCTTTACAGTTTTAAATCATTTCACAATAAAGTCATATTTGTAGTTTCCTTCCTCACGACTTAAAGAAATATGGTGTTGATTTTGTATAATGACCGCAGCGGCTGTTAATAAGCACGCAGCTAAAGTTAAATGGGCCGGTCCATATATCTGTCCGGCCGCTGAGTTACAGGCGTCTCCGGTGATTTACTAAGCTCAAACTGCTGACGAGTCTCTGCCTTGGTCTCCGCACAAACTCCCAGGTCCAGCTCCATCTGCATCCACTGCATAAATCACACTTAAGATTTCATACTGAGCCAAGTCGCATAATCTGGAGGCAGCGGAGGGCATTTACCGACATAATGGGTGAGATCAGGACTCTGTCAGACTGGCTTTGTGTATGTCACATTCACGGTGATACATTTGAGCTTTTTTTATCAGCTTTTATTCGAGACAAGTGACAAGGACAGAACGGGAGATGGAGGCATAAGCGTGAAAAATAGGTGGAAAGAGTACGAATGGGAGGACAAGAGAATCTGTCAGTATTTTTTTTTTTTTTTATCATAGCAGCCCCATAATTTTAGACACTTGTTGACAAGCCGTGGCGACCCGGGACAACAGTTGGAAAGGTTGCCGTGTTGTTTTGACCTGTATCGGCTTTTCACTATACAGGGATTTTGTATAGCCCTAAATCACAACAGCAGTTATCTCAGAGGATTTTACAAAGATCAGAGAATAAACAATTCAAACACAAGAAATGCAATGATACTAACACACTGAGCCTTTGATGTTTTTTTTTTAATCTTTTATTGAAGACAAGAGACAATGATGGATGGAGACAAAGTGGGCTAAATAGGTGGGAAATGATAAAAAGGAAGTTGTTTTTTTTCCCCATTGCAGCCCCATGTTTTTAGATACATGTTGAAAAGCCATGGCGACCCAGTACAACGGTGGGAAAGGTTGCCGTGTTGTTTTTCAGCTTTTCACTACATGGTAGACAGGATTGTGTCAAAATAAAAAGTCAATACAAACTTGCAACGTTTCTAAACTATTTTTTACAACAACAACTTTGTAAAGAACAGAGAAACGGGCTATAACAATGGTGTATTGGTGGGGACACAAATTTATTTTTTGAAAATATTCACGTCCTGACCGGAAATCAAACTCCGGCTGCAATACTGCCTAACCTCTCCTAACCACTCCTAACCACTGGACCATAAGCAAGTGAATTTAAAAGTTTTGCTTTATTGCTGTCTACAGTAAATCAGTGTTCCTTGATACACCTTTGTACACCTTTGTCATGGAAAACAATCGCCGGGCACACCAACAGCTGAAACGTATACAAAAATGAAACCCTGAGGTCTTTAAAATGGAAAGCAATTCTCATCAAAGTGTATTATATATCAAATCAAACAAGCTCAAAAATGTCTTTCTAATCTTCTCACAGTATTTTCTTTTCACATTTGTTAGACCAATTGGGTGATATTGGGCATGTCTCGAGCCAAAAGGAAATTAATTCACTTTCAAGATCTCGTGGCTTGAGATCTTGCCCATCTGTATTCAATCAATACCCAATTTCACTGGTACATTATACAGTAATAATACACAGGTTTTAGATGACAAGTAAAAATCTAACATTGAAGCCAATTTGAAACATGAGAAACATTTGCTCTTCCATTAATTTTGTATGTGCCACATGTTCCGGAGTTTACTAAACGCTCAATATCCGTTTGACTCTGATCGATGTGGATTGATTGAGTTAAAAGGTCAATTGATCTCCGCTGCTCAAACAGTTTTTATTCCTGCTATTTTATAAAGGCTCCCCCCACCATATTTTTCAAGGACCCACCAACAGGCATCCACTTTCTCTACCAGAGGAGAAATATTTTGGGGGAAAAAAAATTCAGTCTACATATCATGGTACTAACTCTTTATTTTAACCAGGATTATGAAACATTGTTCTCATGTGTCGTTCCTATGAAGAAAACTTTAAATACAGATTATTTTTGGCCTCCTGTTGCTGTGTTTGCGTTCATATTTTGTTCCTTTCTTCCGAGCAGTGTTCTTTGTCTCCGTCTGACATGGAGTTTTCTCATTGTAGTCAAGGATCAAAGCTGCTCACATAACTATGACTTTACTGTTTCACTTTTCTCATCTTGTTTTTGATCCTTTCCTCTTCTATTTTCCTTGCTCCCATGGGATGTGTCCTAAAACTTGTCTGTAAGTAACAACCGTCTTCCCAAGTTATTAGGGCTGGATGATTCATCGCAAAGAAAACCAAAGTGGTCACAATTTGCAAAGCGCTGAGAAAAATGGCATTCCTTTATAATAATTTTTTTTTCCTATTTTTCCCAAAAATCTACAACTTCAAACCTGTTTTCAGGTTTCAGTTTCGCCTCAAATTTGAATCTTCCTCGTACACTTGGAACAACACATATAGCTTCAGAACAGAAATCGCAAATGGAATCGTAATGGTGAAAAATCATAATTTCTATACAATCTCTATAAAATTCTTTATAACCATCGCAAAAAGAAACAGCTCATTAACAAGGACTCAGGAAATTTAACACACACACATATATACACTATATATATATATATATATATATATATATATATATATTCAAGCCTCTGAGACCTCCATTCTCAGAGGCTTGAAAAGCGAGTATTAAAAGGAGGGGGTGGAGGTCGTGGCTGCTGCATTAGACTAAGGCTTAAAAGGGCTTCTGGGAATTAGAGGCTGGGTTAGAGGATAGTAGCTGAGGCGTGGTCCAGCGCACTGTTCACAAAGTAGCATAACATATTGACATGCATTAAACATGTATAGTGTACTATGTAAAAGTGATACATTTTTGTTTCTCATACTTGCTATAGTGATTTCAGTTTGTGTATATTTATTGTATTATTAGCTTAGTAACGGAGCTCTTTTATTATAACTGGCTGCTGGTTCAGTCCTGCTTCCGTCTTGGGCAAAAACTGTATCCCATAGTATTTTCTGTCTGCAATTACTGTGTATTCCTCAACTAATTAAAATAACTTATAATGACACCTTAAAAAAGCATGCAGAAAGACTGATTGATTCATAATAATCAGTGTAGAAGAGTTGAATGTGTTAAGGTGTTAATGTTAATAATATAGCCAGCATAGCATGTGTGTCTGCATGGATTACTTAATGTCCAGATAGCACAATGTATATACCCTGTTTTGAATCAATAATGTCATATGAAAGTTCTCTTCCCCCTAGCTTAACACAGTATAAGGACATTGCAGTGTTTAACTTAAAAACACATCCTTCTTCCTTTTGTTTTCTGCAGACTCGTGTGTGGATGCGACAGCCTGCAGGACCAATGAAAACCTGAACTCCAGTTGCCTCTCAGCCTCCAATGGAAACAGCATCTATCATCCGGAGTCCAACTACTTCCCCCACACAGGCTCCCCCAGAGGTGCAGCGTTTATTATGTGTACTCTGACACTGGCTGTGAGTCTAGTCCACAGAGGACATTACATTACCTGAAGTCCTGTCACTGTCTCACTTTAGTTTAACAATTCTCCCTGATGAATTACTTAAACTATCAAAAGTGCTCGAATCTGGAGACTTTGAATGGGGGGGTGATCTAATCTTTGCCACAAAGCACAAACTGGGCATCGGAGACCAGGGGAGTGGCAGAAAGATGATAGAGTTGACTAACAAATTGGCCTTTCAATTCCTACGGCGTTGGTGTTTCAAACGCAATCTTTGAAATATGGCCTCCAGGGTGGGACAAAACTGATGCGCTGTGTAGCGTAGAAAAAGGTACAGTATGAACTCTGGCTGTGATTACCTCACCACTTCCCCCACTTACTTGGACAAGCGCAGTAGCCAAGAACAAACGTAAACAACAATGGCGGCGGATGAACTTATGCTATGTGAGCTTCAGTAGTTACACAGAGGAGCAATTCTACTCCTTTGTCCAAACAAAGCCACGCAAAGCTGTAGTTGCAGTTTCCATTTTTGCTGCTATTGTTAAATGCAAAATTATGTTGGTGCATTCGTCTACAGCTACGTATCTGATGGCCAGAGGAGGATGTTGTTGTGGAAGTAGTTATACTAGTGGGTGTTGTGCGAGTCGCGATGATAATAAAGTGACCAGTGACGAGTGACTATCCCTATATGTAGACTTTTTCCGAGCAAAAGAATTTGTATTGAATATACTGGTGAGCTAGCCTGAGGTGGGGTAAGATTACATAGACAAAAATCTGGGCATACACCAAGCATGTTAGAATAGACTACGCTTTGATTTTACTATAAACAAGTTTACACTACATTTTGACTGTCTCACTTTTTTACTGTTCTAGCTTCCAGATTAAGACGGTTTTCAGCAGGAGGGGAAGAAGACAGCTGGAATCACAACGTCAACAAGGTAACTACTTTAAGAAATATCTATCTAAGATTGATCTAACATAGTGTTTTCCAGTTCCCCCTTTATGCCACATCACCACAATTGTTATATATAGAATGCACCAAACACTAAATCTCTGTAATGAGGAGATGATTTTGTTATTGTTCCAAATAACCTGGAAAACACAACTCAATTTGAATGGGGTCTTCCTACCATCTCATCCCATCTACACACCAATGTTCAGCTTAATCCGTCTTGTACACTGCAAAACATGACAAAAAACAAGTGAACATCTGCCAACCAGTACCTTAACAAGGCATTGCCAAAACTTGGGACGCCCTGACTTAGTGGTTCACAGTAAGTTGTATGTACACAGCCTTGTACTTCTTTTTGGGTTGAAATAAAACCTTCTATGTTCACAAATTACTACACAGCTGATTAGCTTTAGCGGTGTACTGCAATGGATTTTCCGGTAAATCCACAATCCCAGAGAAAGGCATAATTTGTTTCCAAACTGGACTGGAAAACCTGAACTACAGAGCTCTGTTCGAGATCTATAACTTTTTATGTTTTATCACCTATTGCACTGTAGTGTTGATGATCCAGGACGCAACAACATTTATGGACTTCTGTCAACATTTATAGACATTGGTCATCTGCCCCTTATATTATGGACCAATGGCTCTATGTGTTTTTGTTATCAATGCATTTCTTGTGTTTGAACTGTTTGATTCTCTGGCTTTGGCGAATTCAACAGTTTTTCTAAGTCCTCCGAGAAAAATTCTGTTGTGATTTAGGGCTTTACCAGAATACATTGAATTTAATTGTTTTGAGCACACACAGAGATGATTACATAACCCCCCTGTAAGAATTCCCTCCTTATGTTTTTGTCTTTGCTCAGACGATCGGCCGCATGATTCTGAAGGAGGAGATGAAGGCTCGCGCTCACGATAATGACCAGTGGGGCAGCAGGCGCAGTTCTCAATGCAGCAGCAAGGAGGCGCTCCACACCGCGGGCTACACCTCCATGAATGGATGTGAGTGGGGTTTTTAATCAGCGTCCAATCACACACTGGAGATGAAAGCAATTACAGGGTTCATTAGACGTATTAGACAAACGCACGTTTTTGACGCAAAGCTCTTGTTAAAAAAAAAACACAAATAACAATGCAGGCTTGTCTCAAAATGGCTGTTTCAAGTGCTGGTGTGAAATTTCTCTTGTGGCATGTAAACCTATAATCCTGCTTTTATTACTTTTTCTTATTAAAGTTTGAAGTTACAGTATTAGTTGCAGGTTGCACAAAGGCAAAGCCGTTTTGTTTCAATTATTAAAGACAAAATTAGACCTGTTTTGAGTCAGAATTCTATTTCATTCATTGTCATTGGAAGTAACAGGAAATCTATCTATCCATCCATCCATCCATTTTCTTCCGCTTCATCCGTAGCCGGGTCGCGGGGGCAGCAGTCTAATCAGAGACGCCCAAACTTCCCTATCCACACACTTCTCCCGGTGGGACGTGCCCAAAACCCCTCCCCACAGAGGCGTCCGGAACAGGTGCCCGAACCACCTCAACTGGTTCCTCTCGGCGTGAAGGAGCAACGGTTCTACTCCGAGTTCCTCCCATGTGACTGAGCGCCTCACCCTATCTCTATCTCTCTCGTTCTTTGGGTCATTACCCAAAGCTCATGACCATAGGTGAGGGAGGGAACAAAGATTGACCGGTAAATCGAGAGCTTTGCCTTTCGGCTCAGCTCCCTCTTCACCACAGATTTGGAGGTACTGATTCTCATCCCAACCGCTTCACACTTGGCTGCAAACCGTTTAAGTGCATGTTGCAGGTCCTGGTTTGTTGGAGCCAACAGGACAACATCGTCCGCAAACAGCAGATATGGAATCCTGTGGACTGCGAACCTGACCCCCTCCGGCCACTAACAGGAAATCACAAACTACAAATTAGCTGGGGCGTATGATGCAAAAAATACATAATAGACATTTAATGAAGAAGGAGAGACTTAATAACCATTTATACTGAACAATAAAAAACTATAGGGCTAGCACAAATGCTAAAAGTTGTACATGTGTTGACATTATAGACCAGGGGCGCCCAACCAGTCGACCGCGGTCTACCAGTCGACCGCGCACTGATTCCAGGTAGACCGCGACACAAATAAAAAGATTATATATATATATATATATAGAAATATATATATATATATATATATTTTTTAATTATAAATATGATTGCATTTATTGGCGTGTGTGTGTATTTATATGTATAATACAGATATTAGGAGAAAATATAATTAAAATAAAAAAGTAGGTCAGGTTTAACCAATGGCAGCGGGTAAACCTGCATCTCAGGAAGTTACCGCTGACAACAGCAGCGGCTAGTTTGCGGCTAGCCAGATCGAAACGGGTCGGAGCTGTTGGATCGCTGCTAAACTTTAGCATGGCTGAGGGGAAACGAGCCAAAACGTATCATTTTCATCCTGAATGGGAGGAAGAATATTTTTTTGTTTATTCTCATTTGAAGCCTATTTGCCTGATCTGCAATGCGACGATGGCATTGGCAAAGAAAGCGAACCTGGAGCGTCATTTTCGAACGGTACACGCGAGCTATGAGAGGGATTTCCCAGCAAAAACGGCACTGCGCGCCACCAAAGTGAGGGATTTGAAAGGCCAGCTTTCTGCACGGCAGTCTATCTTCACCAAACCGAAAACCCAGGGAAAAGCCGCAACTATTGCTTCCTATCGTATCAGCAATGTCCTGGTTAAACACAAGAAGCCATTCGGAGACGGAGACATGATGAAGGAGGCTTTTCTGGAGTTAGCGGACAGCCTTTTTGGTGACTTTAAAAACAAACCCGAGATCGTGAAGGCCATAAAAGACGTGCAACTGTCCCGCAATACTGTTACAAGACGATGTGAAAGTATGTCTGTGGATGTGGAGGAGCAACTCCGAAGGGATATAGACATGTGTGAGTGCTTTTCCCTTCAGTTCGATGAGTCAACTGATATAATGGATGTATCGCAATTGTGTGTTTTTATCCGAATGGTTTTTGAAGATATGAGTGCCAAAGAAGAGCTACTCTCCATTTTGCCAATGAAAGGACACACCAGAGGGGAGGACATTTTTAACGCGTTCATGGAATTGGTCACAAAAATAAAACTACCGCTTTTCAAACTGATCTCAATGACCACAGACGGCGCGCCTGCGATGACGGGTCGCACAAATGGATTCATCGCATTGTGCAAAGACAGTGAATCTTTCCCAGACATTCTGAATTATCACTGTATCATTCATCAACAAGCGTTATGTGGAAAGGTTTTAAACATGAAAAATGTGATGGACAATGCGATGAAGATTGTGTGCTCAGTTCGGGCTAGAAGTCTGCAGAGAAGACTTTTCCGCGCTCACTTGGAGGAAAAGGACTCCGAGCACACTGACCTGCTACTTCACACTGATGTAAGGTGGCTCAGTAGAGGGAAATTTTTGGTCCGGTTTCAGGAGCTGTTGTCGGAAATCAAAGATTTTCTGAAGGTTTCAAAATATGTGGATTATCATGCAATGCTGGAGGACGAACAATGGCTTTTAGATTTATCATTCCTCACTGACATCACCAGCGAACTCAATGTGTTAAATTTGGAGCTGCAGGGTAAGGATAAAGATGTACTAAACATGATGGGATCAGTGAACACGTTTAAAAGCAAGCTACAGTTGATGTTCAGACGGCTGCAACACGGTGACCTGCGCAACTTTGTTTACGTGCAAGCAGAATTACAACGTCAAGGTAAAGACGTTTCACAGCTGGACAGTGCACGTTATGTGGAACATGTTAAAAACGTCCTGTCTGAATTTGAAAGGCGTTTCACTGACTTTGCGTCCATCGAACCTGTTGCCAGCTATATGTGCTATCCATTTGATGAAAGTATTGATGTTGGTGATATTGCAGAAAAAGTGCAATCACTTTTCCACTTGGAAAAGTCCGCTCTTGAGGATGAGATTCTAATGTTGCAAAATGACATTGAGTTGAAAGCCCGTTCTGCTCAGCTTGGACACCATGTGCAATTATGGAAACTTCTTGTGGAGGAGAAGTATCACAATGTCAGAAGATGTGCCTTGAATCTGACTTCCCTATTTGGATCAACTTATTTGTGCGAGTCTGCCTTCTCTCATATGAAAATCATCAAGTCCAAGTACAGATCAACAATGACCGATGACCATCTTGCAACCTGCCTACGCCTTGCAACGACCTCCTACACTCCAGACTATGAGAAACTAGCCTCCTCCCAGTGTCAAGTCTCTCACTAAGGTACAGGGCTGGACTGGCCATCGGGCGTACCGGGCAATGCCCGAAGGGCCGATGCCCATATTTGGGCCGGTCTGTCTGCCTCATACAAAAAACATGTTTGTGAAAAGTGTAAATCCGTTGAGAAATGTTCGAGGGGAGCGCGCGTGTCCGCGGGGCACCTGCTGTATGTACTCAAACGGGATTCCACCACCTCAGCGGCCGCAGTGTTCCCACATCCAGCGGCTCTGAGCTGGACGCAGGAACCGCTCACCGGGAGCCGCTCACAACACAACACGGTGAGCGCGTAGCCGCAACGTGACCATGTACCCAAGACCATAAACGCGCACAGGACCATGCATGTCTTTTCGTAATTTGTGCACCCAATAAATACACCGCTGCAGAAAACAGTCCGCGTCTCCCCTCTCCTCTATATTAAAGCTCGGGTACCTAAATTTTCCATTGCATTAAAAGTTCATGTTTGAGCCCAAAAGTAAAATGGTGTGAACAGATTAAACAGATTTAGAGCCAGCTAATGGCTGACAATATGCATTTCAGAATTTTTTACCAATTCTCATCCCTGTAACAAACAATATTGTCTGTGCCCACCTCCCTCACTCTGAGACATGTTTATTACTCTGTTTAATGTAGACTATTGTACTGTATTTTATAGTTGAAACTGCAGACATCCTGATCCTCTACAGTATTTGCTTCCACATACTGTATAAACCAGGGGTCGGCAACCTTTAGTGCCCTTAAAGTGGCTCCTGGAGCCTTTTCAAAAATGTCTGAAAATGGAGTGTGAGGGCTATATTTTATTTCTAGTTTCAATGTGGTTTCTGTAGGAGGAAAAACATTCTTAACGTTTTTCAATGCTGCAAAAACTTGTAATATTCAATTTTAACTGTGTGTGCGCATGGATCCCAAAGATAAAGAGAGTCGATAAGACTGGACTAAGAATGAGAATGAACATTTGCTTTCAGTCAATGAGGAAGGACTGCTTCATGTTTGCGATGTAATGAAAAGTTTTGTTGCAACAGGAGGAACAATGAAGCTTTAAACACTGTTCACTGAAAGATTAATTCATCATAAAGTCAGAGCACCTATTTTCAGACTTCAAAAACCTTCGCAAAGACGGTGAAAGAAAAGGCCATTAAGGACATTCAGCTCCAGCAAACTTCAGCCTGTGACGTGATGGATATGAACAGACAGTGATGCAGGTGAACTGAGCCAAAAAGCAGATTTATTTACTGTATTTGTACAAATGCATGAAGGTTAAACTTAAAGCAGAGTTGTCACGTGGTGCGTCATTCTCTCCAGGACACGCTGCAATGAAAATACACATTTGATAATCATGAATGGTTTTTATGTGTTTAGCCTTTACTTTGTCATTTAGATATTAATCTAATATAGCTAATATAGCTAATATAGCTAATGTAGCTAATACAGCTTCAGCCCCTGTTACCTTCATATAAGTCTTATACAACGCTGTTTTTTTTTTTTTTTGTCAAATAGGGCTCCTTGAACCTTTTGAGTTGCCTGGGCCGCTAAAAAGGAAAAAATGCCCGGGCCGTTTTTTTGTCCCAGTCCAGCCCTGCTAAGGTAGGAAGAGATCTTCCTTTTGTGAGTTTAGTTTTTTGTACTCCTGTCCACCAGAGCAGGGGCTTTATGTTTGAATATTCAGTTGTGCACTGCTTTTGGATGTCTGATTCATAGAACAGTGTTTCTATTACCTGGTTTTGAACTGGTTCATTTTTCTGCTTGGTTCATATGGTCAGTTTGTTAGCTATTCCTCAAAATGCAGATTGTGTGTTTGTATTTGTGTAAGATTGTGAGGAGCAAAGAGTTCAAAATAAATACATAATTGTAGTAATCTGATGTCTAATGGTTGTGTTGTTTGTAACAGCTGTAACTGTGGGGTTTTGATGTTGACGCTGGACTGGAAGACCTTTGGAGGTTTGCTAATTAAAAAGTAGACCTTGGGTCAAAAAAGGTTGGGCACCCCTGTTATAGACTGAAGGTTAACCCTCCAGGTGCCAGCTGCAGTCTATGTAGGTGAAATCAATAAAAAAAATATATATTAAAAAAAAAAGTAAGAACAATGGAGGGAAATGTTTGTAGTTGACGTTTAGAACGTGCTCTGAATTTTGTAATTGCTACTTCAGTGACTAAAACTACACCCACACACAGTCAAACACATATAGTTTCATGAACTAAATATGGAGCCAGCTCTGTGAATGAATGGAGTCAATACCATAGACTGTATATATTAACGGACGTAGTCACGCCTATCTCCGTCGTTCAAAAAAATTGGCCAAAAAATTTGGCTTTCATGGAGTGATTCAAAATGGGGGGCTGGAAAATGTGAAAAAACGAATCTGCGAATGTGTCAGCCGGCACGAGCCCCATTCATTTAAAAGAGTGACTTCAAAAATTCACAGCGAGTAAACTAGACTGGTCCAAAAAAATCCACCCCCCTCAGCAGTGACACACATGTGGAACGGAGCTTTGGGCCAAGAGCCAACTTTTGGACCATCCTGTAAATGTGTTTTCGAGAGGTAAGAAGATGCTATATGTTACTGTAGCATTGGCTAATTCTTATTCCGGGTCCACCCCCATCGGCCCGGGTTTGGTATTGCAAGCATGTCAGCGCACGTCATTATGGCCACTTTTGAGCCAGGACCCGCCCCCACTGGTCAATACGCTGAAAACCAGTGGGGGCGAGTCCTGGCTCAAAAATGTCCGTGAGTACGCGCGCTGAAATGCTTGAAATCCCGCTTCCCAGTGGCGTACCCGGAAACAGAATTATCAAACACTTTTTTACGACGCATTATTTCCTGTCAAAAACAGCTTTTGAGTCTGGTCCAGAAGTCGGCTCTTAACTCAACGCTAAGTTCCAGATGCGTGTCAATGCTCAGGGGAGTTTTTTTTTTTTTTGGACCAGCCTAGTTTAGCTGTTGTTGCTTTTTAAAGCAAGCGACTAAACCACATACAGTATTCCAGTTCATTAGCTATTATCAGGAACATCCTTCCCAAAAGTGATGGAGAAAACGGATCCATGCATGTGTCACCTCAAGGCTTGACTTCTGTAACTCCCTTCTGGCAGTATGTCCTAAATGCTTTATAAAAAGCTTCCATCTCGTCAAAAATACATACAAGGCCATAAATGGTATCGCTTCCTCTTACCTCCAACACGCATTAGTATCAACCAAAGAGAGCTTTGTACTCACAAAATGCCAGATTTTGGTGGTTCCTAAAGTGTCAAAAAGCTAATAAACTGCGTGATCAGCTCCCTATCCACGTAAAGGAAGCAGAGAGTCTCTACATTCAAGGCCAGTCATTTTTATTTTAGCATATGGTTAGGTAGGTAAGGCTCAGGTAGACCTCTGAAATACAACCTTAAGTCTAAAAACACAGATTGTCAGGCTCACGCTGCATAGAGACTTTGCTCTCCTCTTCCTACTTTATCTGTCATCATTATGACTTGAGCTGTAGTCTGTTCATTGCTGTCGTGTGGCCTAGGTCCTCGTTCGTTCTACAGTCTGATGTCTAGATCTATACTTTCCGTCTGTGGGAGCGGATCCTTGCCTCCCAGTGGGCCTCCCTGAAGTTTCATATTTTCTCCCAGTTTTTGCTTACTGATGCAGGAGGGTATAAGGACAATGGTGAGGATCCAGGACACTTGGCATTTGTCAACATTTATGGGTATTGGTCATTTGCCCCTTTTGTACCAATGGGTCTGTGTGTAGTATTAAATCATTGCATTTCCTGTGTTTGAACTGTTTTGTTTGTAAAGTCCTCTGCTAACTGTTCTAGACTCAGGTATAGGTTTACAATAAGGTTAGCAGTCGGTGTGCAATAATTTAGGATGTAGGAATAATTGAGATTATACACATTTAATCATAAAGAAGCTAATGGAACACATTCCCAACTCAACTTGCGCTACCTTATAATTTCAGTCAATATTAAATGCATGATTTTAACCAAACTCCGATGGTTAGAGTTGAACTAGATGAAGACGTTACGCATTGATGTGAAAAACCAACTATTTGTGACAGTAGCGGTTTGAACCTGGTGTTTGTCGTCACAATAAGGTAATTACAACACTTTAGTTTTAACTTATTTCAATGTTGGCCTCAAATGATCAGATGTAGCTAATAATATGTTGTTCTATTGTGTGCAAGTCAGTTTAAATAGTTTGAACCATTTGTAAGTGGCAGCAAATAATCACGCTGATGATTTTGCTTGTTGAATAAAATGCTAACTTTAGAGTTTTAGTTTAGTTTTACATTTTAAACTAGTATTGTGAGTCTGGTTGTCAGCACTTACTGTGATTTTAAAAGCATTTTACGATCATTTTTTTTATTGGTAAAATTGTGTTAAGCTAATGAATATTGTAAAAAATTCAATGTTGATCATAATGAATCAAATGTCCTTTTTAATGACATGTACAGGCATGCTGTACAAATAATGAGCAGATCATTAAGAGTTTTAAAGCTAAAAACTCCCCAAACTGGTCGAGTAGTTAGGGCTACAACAGAAACCCTGTGCAACATATTGGGGTGTACAATAGCCGGGCCGGTTACTCACACACACTTCAACACACACACAAAAATGCAACCGCAGCATTTTTTGTTGCACGTGCAACAACCAATCAGAGAACAGAATCTACTGATGTGTGTAACTTTGCATAATGTTCCGGTAACTTTGGCAATCGTTTCCATGGTAACACTATTCCAGTAAGTCATTCCATGACATCACTCCATCTTGATAAGAATCTTCACACAGGTCATGCAGCACATAACTCCGAAGGACGTACAAGTTCAAGTATCCGACTCAGTATACACAGAGAACAAAGTCAGCTCTACATTACCCCAAGAATCAGATATGCATAACAAAATGTCTGTGGACCAGAAGGAAAAAACGTTGCCTCCACGGGAGCTCTCAAAAGATCTGCTGAAACAAACCAAGGAGCTCAGAGAACAGTTAGAAGTAGAGAGGAAGGAACACCAGGCCTCCCAAAAGGCCCTGCAGCTTGAGAACCAGGTCTTAAGAGAGAGAATGAATGAGATGGTTAAAAATCATGTCCAACAGACGCTGGCATTAAAGAATCGCTGGCAAGCCAAGTGTGACAAACATGTGAAAAAGGAGAGAGATCATTGGGAAGAAAAAATTGAAGCCAAAGATGAATATATTCAGCGTCTAGAAGACCAACATTTCGCAGAAAATGAAGACCTATGCAATACCGCACAAATATACGAAGATCAGGTCCAGTCCCTTTTGAATACCCTCAATCTGAGGATAGAGCAGAGCAACTCTCTGCAAAAGCTCCTGCAAGAGGAGCAGAACAAGAATGAGGCCCTCAATGATCAGCTGAAAGAGGAAATAAAGGCCAAAACTGCAGCACAGCAAGAGGCTGTGCAGCTGCAGAAACAGAGGGACAAGCTTCAAGCAAAACTGGGGACTCTCACATCTGTCCTGGACCAAAAGAGGCGTGCAAACCAAGAGGCCATGGAGAAGAATGAGGACATCAACAATCAGGGGAAAGAGGAGGCAAAGGCCAAAACTGCGGCACAGAGAGACATGGAGCAGCTACAGAGAGAGAGAGACAATCTTCAAACTAAAGTGTTGTCTCTCACAGCCGCCCTGGACCAAGAGAGTCATGAAAAGGAACAACTGCAGGCCAAAGTGCAGGAGAAGGAGAGGACAATAGACTCTTTCACAGCCGATGTTTCATCTTTAAGATTTGCTTCGAACAAGAAGGAACCAAAGATCAGCGCTTCAAGTCAGGAACAAATAGACAGTCTACAAAAGACAGTTCTAAAAACTGAACAGGAGATGACATGCCTGAAGGAAACCCATGAAAAACAGATGTGGACAATGAAGTTAAAGGTGCAGGAGATATCAGAGGCTCTGAACACTTCAAAGAGCAACAACTCTGCTCTGAAGCCAGAACATGAAGAGCTTCAGGAAACCACGGAAAGGAAACAGGAGAAAAGGGTGAAGTGGTGGAGAAAGTGGTCGTTCTGGAGAGGAGCAAAGGTCCATCCTATGAGTGTTGCGTCTGTTTAAAATGTTATAGGCATGTGTAGATTTGTATCTTGTCAAACCAGACTTGGCTTGAGGAGGTATATTTCAGCTCCCTATGACATCAGATGTTCAGTCATGTGTCCATCAGATGTTCAGTCTGGTGGACACATGGCTAACACCAAGCCTAACTGTGGTTAGGATTAATTTAAAATGTGCATAGATTTGTATCTTGTCAAACCATGACTTGGCTCGATGAGGTATATTTCATGTACTTGATGATTAATTAATAGGCCTTCATCCATTCTGCATGGAACAAGCCATCCCCCTTCCCAAACATGTCAAAATTGTCCAGAAACTCTCGCCATGTATGTCCATTCCGTGGTGTTCCTGACCACCATCTCAGCGTCTGCCCAGACCATCGTCAACTATCTCCTGAGACATTCCAAAAATGGATCAGAGACAATCATCGCTGCTGGCTTTGTGCAAGGGATCACAGAGATACAGACTGTAATCTCAAAAAATCCCTGTCCTAAATGTAACGGTAAGCACCTGAGGGTGCTCCATGAAGTCAAGAACAAAGCTTAGCACCTCGTACCTTATACGCTCCAGCTGCCAATCAAGAATTACAGCCTCATGGCACCTTCTCTTTCTTGCCTTTCCGGAGCTGATGTCGGAAAAAAACTGAGACAACCTCAGTGCAAAAAGGAGCGCCACCGCAGGGCCCACTGCTGTCAGACTGTATTGTTATTGCCACTTTTTCTTTAGTTGCCACTTGTACATAATTGTACATAATATATCCTAATTGCAGAAACAGAGGGACACGCTTCAAGCCAAACTGGGGACTCTCACGGCCGCCCTGGACCAAGAGAGTTGTGAAAAGGAACAACTGCAGGCCAAATTGCAGGAGAAGGAGAGGACAATAGACTCTCTCACAGCCGATGTTTCATCTTTAAGATCTGATTTGAACAAGGAGAAACCAAAGATCAGCGCTTCAAGTCAGGAACAAATAGAAAGTCTACAGAAGAAACTGCTAAAAACTGAACAGGAGATGACATGCCTCAAGGAAACCCATGAAAAACAGATGTGGACAATGAAGTTAAAGGTGCAGGAGATATCAGAGGCTCTGAACACTTCAAAGAGCAACAACTCTGCTCTGAAGCCAGAACATGAAGAGCTCCAGGAAACCACGGAAAGGAAACAGGAGAAAAGGGTGAAGTGGTGGAGAAAGTGGTCGTTCTGGAGAGGAGCAAAGGTCCATCCTATGAGTGTTCCGTCTGTTTAAAATGTTATAGATGGATTTCTTGTTTACAAACATTCGGAGGTGCGCGCGCATATGAGGAGCAAGACATGCTAAGCGGCTAACTGGTTAACATAAGTTTCGTTCGAACTCTGTACAGCATACGATAATCACTTTTTTTCAACTGGGCTGGCTATTGCAGGCTTTTAGGTTGTATGTGCACTCTTGTGGACACCCTATAGAATAACACCAGGTCGTATTTAGATCGTAAATATTTAATATGCTCTCATAATAACCATATTCCTATGTTGCCGCAAGGCTAGCCAGCTACATCTCGGGACCTTCGTCACCGCTTTTGTTCACACTGAATGCTCTGTCATGTCAGAATCATGTCAGGATTATTTATCACAATCAAAGTTGAATAAAACTATAGTCTGAGTTTTTTGTTTGCTGTTTATTAGCACAATTATAGCGGCTTGACCGAATTAGCTTATGCTAGCTAGCAATGAATCTGTCACTCCATAACCTGTATTGCTTGCTTGCAGTAACGTGACGCATAAACTTCCGGTTGACGAAGTGGTGGTCTGGCCAGCAAGAGTTGCTGCTGATATATGAAGAAAATTTATTTTTTTGCTTTTTTTGGATATTTCATGACAATTTGAAGCTACTGTGGTGAACGTTCTAACTCATCATTCTAACTATATGCACAAGGCAGAATTTTTCCACTACATGTTTTGGTTAGGGTTAGGGTACCGCGGCAAATTCTAACATGCTAATAATGCTAATAAGTCTCCATTCCTCTGCTGAATGTCACTTACATTCTGTAACGTCTTTGTTTATGCTGCCTCTACCATCGACAATAAAACATGTCTTCTGTCTGATTAAAGACACAATCCTAGACCGTCATTTTCTTCACTTTAGATTCTAATCCACAGCTAGTGTTACAATCAAGCTTTTGCACTGCTAAACAAATGAAGGTTTGGAAAAACATGGATACTGCAACTTTTCCGTCTGTCTGTGGGTTAAGGAACTCAGAGTTAAGGTCCTGAAGGACACATCCTGCATCGTACAGAGCCGTGTAAGGAACGATTGGTGAATGAACTTGTCATTCTCAACAAAACAATGCGTCTCACAAACAAACATTCACAGTGATTGTCTAAAATGCCGACTCATCCCTGACAATGAATTAAATAAAGATGGGGATGTAATAACTGCGCATTGTGACTGCACGGCTGGGTAAATAAATAATCCTTCAAGGTAAAAGCGTCTGCTAGTGAAATGTTAGCGAGTCACTTTTCCTGCGTCTTTCTGTAAAGTCCTGAGTGCGAGGCTTTTTATTAATCTCTTCACGAGGAATCCTAAAGTATCCATTAAAGGTTTCGCGACTCGATCGGTTAGAAAACTTAAAACAACACATGCAAAAGGCAGATTCAGGCACGCTGCTCTAGTGAAGAACTAGCTCGGCTGACCACCACTTTGTGAGACGCATACGTAAAGAGGTGGACGTGACGTCAATTGCAAGCAAGCAATTATCAAAAGTGTGTACATAGTTTGCTCATTTGTTTCAAAACTATCAAATGGTTAAATAACTCAGTGAAAATGGCTAAATAGTACATTTCATTTGGTTTCATGTCATCTTATTAAAATTACATTTTTTAACTCAAATCGGGGCTAACCTGTTTACGGCAAATTAATTTACGACCTGTCATAATTGGCTACTGTGCCTGTACGCTGTTGGCTAGTTAACGATGGCTAACATCCCTACAAATTACACAGAAACTCTGAATACTTCTAATAGTACAGGTAATTTTTGTAAATTGGTCCTCAGCGATGCAATATTCTCACAGAACAGTGGGTTGTAGATTGAATGGCCATCTATTACCTGGCCTGATATCTATAATTACCTCATTCAGACACCCAGTGTCTATACAAAAGAGAACCTAAAAGCATATAAATCTATAGATGCATACAATGATGTGTTATGTGGGCATGTGACTGTGACATGTGAGGGCCAACTGCCTAGTTTTGGCAAAATGCTCAAGTGCACTGACTGCTACCAAATGTTTCACTATGCATGTGTGAACATTACCTGATGCTCCTAAACCTGGAAATGCCGCTGCAAAGACATGTAAATAATGCCTGGAGATAATATTATACAATATAATAATAACTCAAGACAGCAAAGAAAAATTAAGACTCAACACCATTTAGTCGTTCATACACCTTGTACAGTTCTTTGGTTCTTTAAAACCAAAAAAATATTTTCATTAATTCATATTATTGACATGTACATGTATTCTGATTACATTTTTGTTATTTACATTCAGTACCTTAAAGTTTAAACTCATTTCTCTGCCAAGATGACAAAGTAAACTATAGGTTATTTTCACATTCTTGAATGATATCGTTTATTTAAATATAATGTACATATTTTTTACCTGATTATTATTTTGCAGGTAATATGAATCACAGACCCCATATTCTCAAAAGTTATTTGGGAACCACAGTCCTCCTAAGATTGGTGAGACATGCACATATACAGTTGTTACAATGTCATCCAACATATCAACATGGCTGATGGGTATGACTGTGTTTAATATCTTAAAGTCTTTAAGATGACCAATAACTCTCTCCACATGTATTCGGACTCTTGACAACTGGCATGAAGTGTCGACACAAGAACCAGGCAACTGGGACTTCCCCTTAGTAAAACTTGGTATTCTCAATATTGCTCCCACAACAGCCAATTCCTCTCTAACAAGGAAACCTCGGTCTGCAAGGATCTCATCTCCATTCTCAACATTTTCCAAAAATCCGGAACCCAGAGTTATTATCTTATCAGAGGCACAACCACCCCACCCATCAGAAAAAAAATATATTGCTCCAGCTGGAGTTATTCCAATTGAATATTTTATGGTATTTTGATTCTTGTAATTTGACCAAGTTTCAGCTCTGGCTTTCAGATTATAGGTTCGCTCTATGAAGATTTCTGTAGTCTATAATGCAACTACAGTTCTTAAATTTTGGTTTGAAACATTTTGGCATGTTTGCTGTAACTGCTTCCTTACTAGGCCAAATTATCAATGGTTTCAAAGTTAATGACAACAAAGGTATCCACTCCCTTATTATTTTGGACACAGTTGAGAAAGGAAGGTCAAATTGTTGTGGCAGATCTCTATTGGAGATAAAGGAGGTGGTTCTCCCAGCTTATCCCAACCTTTAGCACTAAAGTGGTTTGTTTGAGGATGGTTAACAGCCACAAGAAAACCTGCATAGACTCCAATCCAGTATAAAAACAGAGTGCAGAATCTTTCAAAGAATGAAACCCAAAGTTAGAGAGTTTAGTCGTTCCCGCAGCTGTTGATTCTCTGACTTTACAGCCTCCAGTTCCCTTTTCAAAGCCACATGGTCGTCCTCAAGTTGTTGATACTGCATGCCGAGTTGATCAAAGTCCTTTCTGGGCACAAAGTCATCTAAAAGAAAAATGGAGAACAATTACTTCATATAAAAAACAGGTCTATTATTAACAAGGCTGTGGAGACTGGTGCTCATCTGAGTGGAGCTAAGCAATAGCAAAATTACATGCAGAAGATCCAATAGAATATTTATTTATTGATTGATTTATTTGATAGGGACAAGTGTTACACAACCAACATGTGAAACACTGCAACATTTATAGCCAAGGATAATTTGCAATGTCCGTCCCTTGGAGGGCTTTGAACTCGCTGTGTGCCTTTGACGCAAATAGTAACGTTGTGTGCCAGTGAAGCATTAATACGTAAATTCCGCTATTTTCATGTTCCCAGATGTCTATTACAGTATATCTCATATTTATGGGGATTAGCTTGAGAGTATATTTTATTGAGCCAGCAGGTGGCAGCAGCGCTCTCTGAATGGTTTGAAAACAGCTAGATGCACTTGTTGTGCCTTTTTTCTCATCTTTTTGGTGATTTCAGTAAAACTTCCCTCTACTCAACTGGGGATTACAGGGGAACAAAACAAGCTAGAAACAAAATTATTTTAGCTGATGAAAGTAGACAGTCCATTCTCACAGAATCTGGATTTCAGATCATAGTCATAGTACACTTTATTCTGTGGGTCTTGAAAAATCAGTAAAGAACCATCAGAAACGGCTGGCAATGTGGGAGTACCTGTTCTGAAATAGGCTGACAGGCAATGAGTTAACACAATTTAAAACACATTTTACATTATAGTATTCACATTATAAAAACGCAGGTGTGTTTTAAAAAATTGGATCCTCATTTTTGTGCACAAAATGTATCATCCTAACATTACACAGAGCACAACATGCAAAGAACATTTTGACATGCGTACCATCCCCACATTTTCGTTTACCTGATTCAGGTTCAGCCACCGCATCAGCATCCACATCAGCAGCAGCATGGAGTGTGGAGCTAGTAGCAGATGCCTTGTCCTGCCTTATACAAATTCTTTCATATTTATAAGACATTATACAAAATACTGTGTCAAAAAATAACTATTTCAAATATGTTGGCTCCAATTAACGAGGCTACACAGTCAGGTTAGAATATTACAGACTAAATCATACATACCTTGCCACCTTTATATTTTTAATTACAATATATTATTGTATAATGAATTACAGATCAAATGAATTCTTCAGATATACATTTAAACTGGTGTATTTAGGTGTGAAATTACAACAAGTGGATCAAGCAACTTGTCAACTTTTTGACAGAATATTAGTGAGAGTAGTTGCATCCGCAACATTGACTTTACTTGAGGCAAGATGGAGCGTCAACACTTTGTCCTCGACAAAATATCGCTAAAGGACATTAAAAATTCTGTCCACATTTTTGTTTGTGGACTAGTCAATGTTTAAAGAAAAAGGTTTCCCTATCAACTTTGTGGCTAGTTCTTCTTTATATCGTTGTGCCATGCCATGTGTGCAGAAGTATGACGCATGTGAATTTGAAATGGTCAACCTTGCCAGTGCACTTTGATCAACTGCAAATGATTTAATCAAATTTACTAGCGGTAGTGATATTCTGAACGACAGGTTT